GTATATTTGGTTTCAAATCTCGAACATTTCTGAGATTCCTTAAATGTTACTTCCACAGATGACACGGTACCCTATTAACTGGGCACTTAAGGCATTTCATGCATAGTGGTACTGCACATGCCGGCGTACAGTCTCGAACGAGTATCTTTGGTGAACTGGTTCTCAGGAAGCTTCGAACTGCCCGGCATTGAATTCACAAGTTGGTACTTCTTGAAATGATACTGCCACATCAGCACTCAGCTGACCCCGTGAATTTATACTGTTGATTGTTATTTAAATACTATAAATATATGGATATAATTAATACTTGAGGATTACTTGTGATGACCCCTAACTTTTTGTTTACACTTCGAAACAGCCTAGTGGTTTCTTATTTTAACCCCTGGGTAAAACTTGTGATTTCTATAGATGTTCTTAATTATCTAAACCCCGCCCCCCAACCCTTTAGTCGTGTGGAAAGTTCCCCCCCCCCCTCACACACAGTCAGGTCAGACGGGTAGTATTGTTGGGTCTTGTAAACAACACCGCCATGTTGCTTTAGTGGGGGTCCTGTGATTGTAAAAGTGAAGCTAGCGAGAGGGGAAAGGGAGGGGGGTGAGAGGGAGCATGAGGGGGACCAAGTAGGTCTGGTCTAGACGTTGTGCTGAGCGACCTTAATTACCTAACACCTAGACTCAAGCCTTGACACACAGCACTTGAGTTGCGTCTAGAGAAATTTTTGCTGAATATCTGATACCACGTTGGGAGTGATTGGTGGGGGAGAGAGCCTGAGGGAGGGAGAGGTGATGTCAACACATGGGCCCGCGCTACAAACGCGCACAGTGTGCGTGCGTTTGTAGCGCGGGCAAGCGCATAATTCAGTACACGAGGCTTAGACGAAAGATATTTTGACTGCTGGTAGACATTTTTGGGTTGCAGCTGCGTGAGCATGTGCGCGCTAGACTATGCATCTGTTATTACCTTGCAGAGCTTAGGGTGTTGAGTCGATTCTTGTATTAGGGGAGTGATAAATCTCTCGTATTTTGGTTTAATTTACGTCTTTAACCTTTCCTATGTTGGTCTCTAAGAATATATCAACGCTATCACTGCTTAGTTAAAATTGTCTTAACTTGATGTTCTTTCTCTCCTCGCCCCTTCGTTCTGGTTCCCTTCGTCTTTGAAACTAGTAGTATTAGTGACAATGTAAACGTGGGCAGTTAATGCTATAATTTAAGTCTTAACCTGGTATCAGTATATGTACTGATGTCCTTTAATCCGTGGCGGTTAATTTGCCTGTTATGACAGCAACGTTGTTGTCCCTTATAGACAGCGTGTTAGCGAGGTTTTGTGCTGTTTACGTAACAAACCCTTTGGGGACGCTGGCTGGCTGGCTGGCTAGGTGAGAGATTGGCGTGGCTGGCTCGCGGGCTGGGCGTGGGTTTGATGTGGCTTGCTGGCTTTGTGTATACAAGACACAATGTACGGGTTGTATCATTTTATTGATGAAGTTTCGTCCAAATAGAGAACGTGCGTTGTGTGTAATATATTATTGGGGAGAGGTGCTTGCATGACAGAAACAGCAGGTATGGCAAGTTTTATGCGAGTAGCTGGCAGAGTAGGTGAGGTTAGGTGACAGCAATCTGTTTTATGAGAAGAAACCTCACCAGAGTTTTGAGGAATACCATTAACAGCGGCTGTCATAGGTGACTAAACATAACTTGTTCTGTCGGTCGCTGCTTACTTTTGAGGATACAGTTCTCAATGCATTAGATGGCTAGACGTCAAGAGGAGAATGTAGGTGCTTGCTCGCGTTCTTAGTTTGATCTCGTGTGTAACTGTTAGCACAATGTATGTAGTTACCTGGAGTTTACCTGGAGAGAGTTCCGGGGGTCAACGCCCCCGCGGCCCGGTCTGTGACCAGGCCTCCTTATGTCTACCACTGTGCAGTGTGCGTGCATACATGACTGCGCGTGTGTGTGTGTGTGTGTGTGTGTGTGTGTGTGTGTGTGTGTGTGTGTGTGTGTGTGTGTGTGTGGTGTGTGTGTGTGCGCGCGCGTGGGTGTGCGTGTGTGCGCGTGCGTGCGTGTATGCATACATGCGTATGGACAAGAGTGAGCTTGTCCGTGTCCGGTGGTGTGTGAATTAATTTGCTTATGAATGTGGTCTTGTGTAGCTAATATCTTAAATTTTAATATATAGAGGCGCTGGAGATTGAACTAGGGACCTCTCGATCTGTAGTCGAATGCTCTGCCACTGAACTATACTCCCTTGTATAATTTATGTATAGTTTATGTAATAATGAATATTATTATTTCGCCTCACCTTGAGACTGGAGGAAATATTCCGCCATCTTAGTGGCTCATCTTCGCTTCCACCTATGATCTCTTGCCTCTGCCTCACATCTGAAACACTGGCATTGTATTATTTATTAAAACAGTACTTTACAGGTAATTATATTTCCCCTGGTCTTTTTGTGGTAAAGGCTGGCGGGAGGTGTGGTTGGTGAAGGGTGGCGGGAGGTGTGGTTGGTCATGAGGGATGAAGAGTGGCGGTGTGTTTTATTAACATTAAATATACGATCATAAAACACCGTGAATAGGTTTCAACCAACCCGTGAACACCGCCACTACTAAGTTTCCTGACACAGGCTGTGACCTCAATCACGACTGGAGCTTCAAATGCATTTGCGTAGCATTTTTTCTTCTTGACTATGGTCCACAACAGTCTGCTGAGATCATGTAGTATATTCTCCTAGGTTTGCAGGGATCAGCATGAATCATCTTAATATTTTTTCTAACATTTGGTACATCGCACTATGCTGATGTTTTATCCAGCATTTGAATACTTCCAAAGATCTTGACTTTTCTTTAATATTGACATTTTTTCCCCGAGTATGATAGATTGTAATGTATTTACACATTAACAGTTCCCTGGATGCTATTCGTAAGTAGTTTACTGCTAGGGGGATTGGGACAGCAAGAATGTAATGAAATTTGTCCGTGCGTTTCACTGTACCTAGGATTCTAATCTAGGACATATTGTAAAGCGAATTACGTCAGGGCAGGTGAGGTGGAGGCAGTGTCAGTGCCTTGTTGTGCACTATGAGAACTTGTGGCTTGAAAAAAAAAGGTAGGTAGGTAAGGTAAGGTTTGTCAGGAAATAGGACAAGTGTTTCCTGACCCGGGTCTTAGTCCGTGATGACCCGCCATTGGAGCTTTTGGTCATCTGATAGAGATCTTGCACTGGCTTACCGGCCCACCCCTTAAAAAGTTAATTATTATAACCATTTGGTGTCGAGCACAAAATTAAACATAAATATCAGTTACCTTTCAAAATAATTGGTTGCTTCAGTCTCAATTTTCCTGTCATTGGTAGTAGGCGAAGCTCCTTAAAATTTATTCTTTACTACGATCACAGTATGAATTGTCACCTGAACTTAGTGAATTTTTTCTCATCACTTCTCAAATACTGCAGTACTGAAGCTCCTTCACCACGGCTTGTGTTTCATGTTGATTTGTCAGGTAAAAATAAGCTGATGCTGGTCTGATCAGGAATCACTCCGAACACTAACTTCATCACTACTATCATCAGTAAACTCTAAATCATAAATCTGGCTAATTAAATCCTTAAAACTTTGGGATAATAAAAACATCCTTCTGCCAATATTAAATCGGTGACTGCTTTTTCATGTAATTAATCTCGGTTGTGACGTTATACGACTCTAGTGATGATTTATCAAACGATACTAGTTCTTCGTATATTATGAAACTCGATTACATGAAGATAATCTACTTCAGAGTAGACAACCTCACATTAAGCTTTGTGATAAATGGTTAAGAAAAATCGACAAGTTAAAGAATGAGACACTTGAAGATTGATGGACTGAATACAGATTCCAGGCTGATACTGATTACCTCAGACTACTCCCTTTTCCACTGTTCTTCTATTGGACTGAAGAAGCCACTGGCTGGCTAAACTTTTCCTCAATAAAGATTCCCAAATGTTGCACAAGTCTCATTCTTCAACGTTACACTATGTAGTGTGCAGATGAGACCCAGCCCAGCCATAAATTTAGCGTGACGTGAGCCCACACTTCATCCTCGTAAGAATAGAGCACTGCAGAGTGTCCACCGATGAATTGAGGACTGTGGGGAAAGTTGTGAAGGTATTTGCTTGACTCCATGGGTACACGGATAGAAAATCTACTTATAGCGGAGAAACCTTTTATTATAACGTTCCATCCAAGACTAGGCTTTACGAAACCTTGAAGCTCAACCTTGGTGGAACGTCTTTATAAAAGGTTTCCTTTCTACCAGTGTCTTTATTTCCACTGGTCAGCGTTCACCATTTTTTTTTTTTTTTTTTTACCTTTTATGGGTATACACTCGTTCAGGACAAATGTATGGATTGGTTTTAATCTCGTTTAGTGTATTCTGGCTTTCCGTTTTGGCTCGGGAGGGAAAGGGTGTCTTGGGGAAGGGGGAATGTCTGGGAGGGAGAGGATCAGAAGTGAGGTGTGTAGGAGGGAGGGTGGGTGTCTGAAAAGATGGGTCTGGAAACGGCGTTCTGAGAAGGAGTGGTGTTTGGAAAGAGGGGCTAGTGTCTGGAAAGAGGGGCTAGTGTCTGGAAAGAGGGGCTAGTGTCTGGAAGGGGCTAGTGTCTGGGAAGCTGGAGGTAACTGGATTTTTTTTTTTAGCATTACCATAATCTTTGAAGTTTGGCATGAAATTAAATTTGGTTTTATTTGCATAGATATTTAAGGGATTAAATACTGGATAAACAACAAATATCTGATGTAATAAAGCCTCAAATAGCACTTCACTTGGAAACTCCTCAAGCTCACCTAAGGAACTTAATTATACGAGTCAATTTGTAAATATCATTGTACCACTTGGCACTGTGCTACATCCCAGCTATTACAAAACCCTGTTAAAATACCACCTTGATCTCTCGTACCTTTTGAGTGTAAAATGCCAGACAAAATATTTTTCCCTCAATCTTTACTCTCCTTGTGTACGCAGCAGTGGTGTAAACCGTTGTTGCTGCTGTGCTTGCCTCCTCTCAGCCGTGCCTCCGTCTACTGGTGGAAACCAGGTTAACAGACCTAGGCGGTCCAGACACCAAGAATCGACTCGAGCGGAAAAAAGCGCCTGGAGAGACATTTTGCACGTTTTCTTAAGTTTACGGAAGATGGTGAAAAAGATCTACGTGAAGATGGGTCACTTGAGTGACCTGCGGCACCGGCTCCGACGGATAAAGAAGGCAAGTGATTGACATCCTCGCTTTCTGTATTTTTAACAACTTTTAAGTGATATGCAAGTAGAAGGTATGAATGAAAATGTGTAAATGGTGTCTTAAAGTTACTAATTTGTAGTGTTATCAAAACTGTGTACGTACTTTTAACAAATTTGTATATTAATCACTGAAAAAAGCTGGTAATTGTCGTGGGCGAAGGCAAACTAGTAGGCAGCCCCAGCACCTTTTTTCCTACATGTGTAAAGGCGAAGAGATGCCCACCTGTACAGTCATTCCCATCCTGTCTGCAGAAGAGCGTATACCACTCTGGCAAATGTAAGAAATTCAATTGAAGAGAAAGAATAAGTGTTATGTCATATACGTAAGACAATTGTACGAATACACAGCTGTAGCATGAAGCTCACGTTTAATAAAAAGCACAAACGAAATAAAAAAGGAGGGTATACCATTAAACTTTAACGGAATGAAGAATGGAACACTTAAGACTGCATAATATACGTTGATGACGGTGAAAGTGAGATGCATGAAATGCTCATGTCATTAAAAAAAGAAATAATTTGGACATTCGAGAGGACGAACAAGGATGTTGACCATGGGAAGGGCAACAAGGAGGGAAAGCAGTTGGTAAGTGGTCGCCCGGGTGGAAACAGTCACATGTGCAAGCTGATCGGACGAGTCACTGATGTCGGGAAATAAATTCACAACGCTGAGTAGTAAAGTAGAATAATTATGGGACAATATAGTCGGAGACTGTTTGTATTAAATAAAACGAGATGGTTAATAAAGACGGGCCCAAGAGCTTGAGCTAATACTAACAATGCGATGTAAATAAACTCACGAGGGGATCTCCCTAGCTTCTCTCTTCCCCTTCCCCCTCCTTTTCTGCCCCCTCAGGGCGAGAACAAACAGGATATCAGCAGCGTATACATGCATGACTGGCAAGAGTAAGAATTTCCTTCAGGTGGTTGTGGTATTTTATTCTTTTCAGGGATCCAAGCTGTATAGCCCTTGTGGCTTAGCGCTTCTTTTTGATTATAATAATAATGCAGGGACCCAAACAGGAAATCATTAAAGACCTGACATTGTCCGACATTCATACCATATGGCATGTAGCAGCACAGGCGAATGTATTTTCATACAATTGTGTTTTACCTGAATCTGTAATAAATGTTTTGCATTATTTGAATAAAATTATATAAAGCAATAAAATTAGGATTTCCCTCCATTTTAGTCTGAGCTAAACAATAGAGGAAAGTGACAGTGGTGAAAAGATTTTGATAGGTGTCCCGTAGCTCGATCGCTAGTACACTCAGCTCTCACACTGAGGTCAGAGGATCGATCCCTTGGTACGGCTGGAAAACATTAGGACGTGTTTCCATAAGACACCTGTTGTCCCTGGTTACTCATCAGTAAAATAGGTACCTGGATGTTAGTAGACTGGTGTGGGTCGCATCCTGGGACAAAATTGAACAAATTTATCGGAAATGCTTTGCATACCAATGAGCTTTCTATACAGTAGTATGTCATTGATGTCAGCTAGGCCCGTATACCTTGTACGTGTAGAAATAATTATTATTTGACCTTATTTCGGTTCTTACCATAAGTAATAGCAAGAGTCAGAGGGAACGTAAGGAAGGGGGGGGGGGGGGGGGGGCGGGCCGGGCGGGCGGCGGGCGGGGAGACCACTGCAATTGCCCCACTGGTCCATGATAGCCCTATTCTCCTGAAAGCTGTCCTCTTTATATCACTCCCATTCTGTGAAGGTTACCAACAGCTATTGTCAAAAAAAATCCATTAGTGAAGTCTTTCCTATTTCACTTTTTGTGTATAAATATTTTCTATAGAGCTTTTATTCTGCTTCAGTGTGTAGCAAATGTATTATGCCTATTTATGGCTACAGTGACATAGCTTGGAGTTAACCGTACTCGGAATTTATTCTATATATTTTTTCTAATTTCCAGTTGTAATAGCATGTCCTACTTCCTTTTGGTAAACACTTCTACCAGTTTGAGTGTGTAATCTATTACAAACTTGCGCGCTATATAAATGTTGAAATTTAATTTTCTCTTAAACGCTCTATCATAAATTTCGTAACTTTCTTCTCCAATGCTGCAAATGTGTGTAGTGTTGGGGGTCGGAAGTTTTAGAATCGAGAATGAAACGGTGAAAGTGTGGAAAAAAAATAAGAAATTAACATTAGAAAGGAAGGAAAACTAAGACTTTGCTAAGGATTGAAGGATGAACACAAGCAGAGATGACTCATGAATTATAGAATATTCAGAGGTAGTGCCAGACGGCATAGCTAAGTAGGAAGTGAAGGCGATCTTCAATGTGTGTGCTTGGAGGAAAAGGGAAGAAGGGAAGCTGGATCCTGCAAGACTGTGCTTGGAAGGGAAAGGAAAAAATACCTTGCTGGACGTGTTGACATGTCTTTTGCTCGGCTACTGTCCTGTGAAAGGAAGTAAATTTTACTGTGGCCCATCGCTATGACTTGTACAATCTTTTGCTATCCACTTTATCCCCCCTCCCTTTCAGCACATCCTTCTTTCTACCCACATTTTCCTTCTACCTCGCCTCCCTTTCATGGGCCCCACAACTATGTATTTTAAAGTTTAGATATGATTCTTTGTTATCGGGTGTCTGCCAGCACCTCGTTGAACTTCTGGGGTAAGCATTTTAGTGTGATAATTTTTTTTAAAAGACTTGAAATTTTTTAATTTGACACGAATGGTTGCTTACTTCGTGTGGTAAAGTGTAAGGATTTAAGTATTGGGTTCTTTTTTTTAAATGGTGACCGACAGCGTGTTAATACATTTAAGCAAGGAGATCTGTAAAGCTGATGGGTTCCACTGATGTTAATATCTAACCCTTTAAACACCTCTTCTAGAAAGGGCTACACCCCTTTCATACACTTACCTACTGCTACACACACGATTCCACAATGATCCTGTCCAAACTTTACCCCCTTCCACATGCTTTCTCTCGTTCCACATAATTTTTTTCCCCGCTTCTCCCCTTCCATAATCTCCTCCACACTCGTACACCTCTCCGAAGACACTCATCCCCTTCCCCCCCCCACCTTCACCATCACACTACTACCACCTCTGTCCACCATCACACCACCATCATAGCACGACGACCACGACCACCACTTCACCACACTACGCGGCACTAATGGTGTAAGCCGTAAAGTTACATAAAATATCACTGGCTAGGAATATTAAACGAGGAAAAAATAAACCTGGACGCATTATGATAAGTTTGACAGATGGTCGGCCTTTCCTGTGAGAGGTTGATTTTTATCGCTACCTTAATGTGTCTTCTTAAGTGGGAGGCTGGTAATGAAGGCTAGCGGGGAAAAAAAATGCTGAAAGGCCTCCAGTAATTTAAGATTTCACGTGGTGCGTGTGAAATTACCCGCATGTAATAACCTGTTTGTAGTTACAGAAGCAGACCTGTGCTAGTGTCCAGTCATCAGCGTTTAATTCTATACGATACAGTCTCCAGTGATACACTTGCTGCCTAGAGGCACTGCATTACTAGTGAAGACCATATTTTCTAATGCCTTTCCTGCGCTGTGGGTGGATGGGGTGAAACTGCGCTTTATGGGTATGTTTTACTGAAGTGTGATGGGGTGGGGGATGGGGTCTTCTGGCCTGCACCTCTGGTTGCCTCGTTATCGGCCGGTTTATGGCCAAGGTTCATTTTGCCCAGGCATTCAATAACCGTAAATAGTGTGAAGGGCTTCAGGTGTTCCCTTAGACCCCGGTACTATTCGTGCCCTTCCTCTCCTCCCTTCATGTCTTGTTTTCTTCTCCCATCTTTCTCTATCCTTTTGCCTTATTAATTTTCCTTTGCTGTTGATTTTTGCTTTCATTTCCAAATCTGGTATATCATGGTCTTTCCAGTGTTTCCGTGGTTTTCTACATAGTTCCTCACTACTTTTCCTATGTGCCAGTTTCTTGCTCCCCCATCAATTCCTTTCCTTTCATCTGTTCTTCTGTGTATGTCTCCCTGTCTGCTCTCCTTCCTCCTTTGCTTTCCCCCCCTCTTCCGCCTCCCTCTCTCCCCCTACCTCTGACTGTTACAAAACTAGGTTCCTCCCTTCATCCTGACCTCCCCCCCTCCTCCTCTCATTTCCTCGTGTTACACTGTTATTGTCGTCAGCGCACCCCCCGCGGGGTGTCCGTCGGGCATCCGTCGCTGTCTGTACGGCTTCCGTCCTCAGTCACCTGTGCAACACCAAAGCTGCGGCTGTGGCGGCTGCTGCTGCTGCTGGAGCTTCTCTCTGTCTCTCTCTATTTCTAACTGCATTCAACTCATCACCCTTCAGTGTTCTTTACACTGCATCGTCACAACACCCTATAACCTCCAGTCCTTTAAACCTCGTAACCTCCAGGGCATTAAAGCCTAAGGGTTGAGGGGCCCTTCTAACCTCCCCTGTCATTGGGTCACCTTCGCCCGGTGGTGACGTTTTTGCAGTTTAGCTCGGAGTGGAGAGGGTGGTCTGAGAGAGGCTCACGCCTCTCCTGGATGCTAGTCTGATCATTAACAATCTGACTGGTCGGTGACCAGGCCGCGATTACCAGACGGTGGTAGAGCCTCCTATACTCATTGAGCTCAATGGCCCCCACTCCACCCACGGATTTAGAGCTTTTGCGTTTAATGGCTGGGATATTTGTGCTGTTTTGCGACGCTAGATTCTGAGGAGAGGAATAATTGTTCAGATCTCTCCCGGTTCTTGCAGTCGATTGTAGTTTCCGGTGGCTGTTACTTCCATCGTTATTGCCAAGTAGCTCTTCGTGCAAAAAATAATAAAAATTGTACAGTATACCATGTTTATTTAAAAATACAAGGTGTCCAATCTTTTTTTTTTTTCTGGTTTCACAATTTTTAACGGGAAAATGGTAGTGTATAAAAAAAAAACTGTCCTGCATATGATAGCCAAGAAAAAAAAATTGTTGCCGCTTGCATGTCGTAATTGAAGTGTCCAGATAATAGTCTGAGGGGAAAGCCCAACGTGTCATTTGGTTTGCAGACACGGAAATCTGTGACATACCGGCGCCAGTATGGAAGGGATCCTTTATTCGGAGTAAGCATTGTGTAGTGGTTCCACTAGTTCTTAGACACAGGAAGTGTGTCAGACAGGCCTTGTAGTGAACTGTCAGGTGTTTCCGGAGACACTGTTGTTAGCATCCAGGAGGCTGTCCAACGTAATCCTTTCATTTACCGAGACTAACAGTGCACAGAGTCCTACAGAAGAGATTACCTCGTTCATATTAAGTGCATTTGTTCCAGGTCTTTCAACCCTCTAACAAACTTGCGCACTAAAGAGTACATGTTCATATTTTCTGTTGAAGCCATCCTTTCACGTGTTTGGACGAATTAAATAGTACATTGTACAAATATGGGGGTCTGAAAACTCACATGAAGTACGTAAACAAGTGCATGATAGTTCAAGGCTCAGTATCAGGTGGGGACTTGTGCGTGATAGGGTAATGGACCCATTTTTTCTTTCATGAAAGAACTGTTACCGGAAATGTTTACCTTGATATGGTTCAGAATTTTGCAATTTCCCCATTAAGAGCTGCACCAGACATTTTCCAACCAGACGGTGCACGTCCACTCCGGAGTGTGATTGTGCATAATTTTGTATTCTTGTGGAGATTTGTTAGATAGTTTTCCAGAGAGGAGTTGCTGACATTGTAATCGCGCTATATGTTGAGGTTGAATAAATTACAGCCGTGAAGCTAAATGCAAAACCTGTTATTTCAGCTATCATATGCAGGACGTTGCACTTTCATATATGACTATTTTATTGAAATAAATTTTTGAGACGGGGAAAGGACTTTGTGGGTACCCTGTATCTTATTAATGCATTAGATGAAAAAATTGCAAATATTTAGTTTTGAGCACCGGAAGGGATTTCGTTTTACGACAGAAGTATTACTGATGGTTGCCTGCGGATCCAAGAG